AAAATTAATTTATTGCTTTTTTAATAAAAAAATTACGAATATGTAGTTGTTTTGGAAAAAATTACAAAACTATAGCACTCAAACACGCCACATGGGGCTTGTTCTCATGGAGAGAGACACGCCCATGTGGGGCGTGAGCCTCTAAATATAGCACGCCTATCTTGGGCGTGAGCTTTAGGAGAGAGACACGCCCATTGAGGGCGTGACCTGTGAGGAAGACACGCCCAACTTAGGCGTGTTCCACTAGAACGTCCTGTCCAATCTGGGCGTGAGTGACTAAATTGCAGTCTATTTAAACACCCACTCCTTTACACACTCTTCACAACTCTTCTCCCTCATTATTATTCTTAAACTCTCACATTCTTTCGCACTTGTTTATTGATAGTTTGCACTTGTTTACTCATATTTCGTTTTATCTTATTAATTTTTGATTTTAAAAATGAGTGCGAATTCTGATACTATTCGTGTTGTTCTATATTTTAACAGTAGGAAAGATGAAGGTCGTCGTGGTGTTGTTTTTGTAGGGTAGAAAAGGCCATCACGTATTAAACGGAACTCAACGGTTGTGGAGCTGCATCAGAAAATACGTCAAAAATTATGTCTTCAAGACAACCAATCAATCACTCTAGTCACGACAAGATTATGGCAATGTGAACAATACATTAACTTGCAAGTGGTCGATGACGAAGACATCAATATGGTAATGGAAGAGTTCTTGAACCAGTCCAAAAAGGATTTCTTAGAGTTGTATGTGGATACTACCACCGCGGAGGAAGTTGTTATACCAACAAGGTCAGTTAGGTCTACTTCTCCTCTTAATGCATCCTCATATGCTGCTCCTACTGTTAACATGTTCGAGGAAGATGAACATGGCCCTACTTGGGTTATGGATGAGGAGTATGACGAAGATGATGAGGAAAATAGTGCAATGGAGGATCATCTTCTTGCAGAGGATGCGAGTGCATCGGACAATGACGAAGAATGTGGCAGGTCTGGTACTGAACTTCAACCATGGCATGATTTGGGGAAGTCTCGTATCGTTGTACATCATGACACAACATCGAGTCAAGTACCAGAACAGCCTGAAGGTATGCTATCAATTAATATGCTGACAGTTTGGTTGTTGCGATTTTGATTAAGACAATAATTCAATTGTATTATTATTATTACGTAGTACATGTAGGCGATGCACCTGTTGATCCTTTTTGGTCTGAAATTCCACATTACACATATATTGATTGGGATCATCCGAGTGATGCACAATCATGGACGCAGAGTTCGGGTTCAATCCAGGGTCCATGGCAATTGGGGGAAAAGTTGTTTGTTAACCAACACTTTACATCCAAAAAAGAGGCTCAGATGGCAATCAAGCGCAACCTCATGAAGGAGTATCAAGAAGCAATTGTGGTTGAGAGCACTCCCACAAAATTAAGCATGAAATGTTGTGCGTATGTCCAAGGTTTCCCGTGGAGGATCAGGGTAATTAAACCAACGTATGGTGAAAATTGGAAGGTAACAAAATGGGGTGGGGATCACAATTGCTTGAATGACCATATTTCTCAAGATCATCGACAACTTAATTCTGACGTTATCGCAGAACTTGTAGTAGGTATGTAATTTCAAATTAAAATGCTGATCAAAATTTAAGTTGATATACCTGTTGTTCTGTTAATGTTTATATCCAGCTGTTGTTATTCAGAGATGATAAAAAAAGAACCTTTAGTGTCCATTGCGCTCGTCCAGGAGAGGACAACTCGTTCTTATGATTTCAAAGTTTCATATAAAAAGACATGGTATGCGAAGTAGAAAGCCATGGCAATGTTATATGGTGATTGGGAAGAATCCTATGCATATTTACCCAGGTGGTGTGAATATATGCTTCGTTTTTCACTAGGTTCCTTTTACAATATTCAAACAAAGGATTGTTTTGTTGCGGGGCAGTTGGTTCCTAGAAAACGTGTATTTGTTCGTTGTTTATGGACTTTCAGACAATGTTGTGAGGCATTTAAATTTTGCAAACCAATGATACAAATTGATGGCACTCATCTATACGAAAAATATAAGGGAAAGTTGTTGACTGCCACAGCTCAAGATGGTAATAATGAATGTCTGCCACTTGCATTTTCCGTTGTTGAGGGTGAGACATTGGAGGCTTGGTCATACTTCCTTGCCAATCTTCGTCTGCACGTTATACAAGCGCAGGATATATGTCTAATTTCATATCGACATGCTAGCATATTATCGGCTGTAGAAAATAATCCTGCTTGGCAGCCACCCCATGTGTTTCATGTGTTTTTCCTGCGACATGTTGCAAGTAATTTTAATCAACGATTTAGAAATGACAAATTGAAGGCTAGCCTGATGAATATAGGTATGTTGCACACAATGATTGGTGAATTTCGAGTTGTAGTTTTTCGTTATGATATAACTATGTGTTTTTTAAATTGTTGGCAGGATATACTCCTTGCATGGTGGGTTTTGAGAGAGCGCTTGCACGATTTCGTGACACAAGCAGGCAGGTAGCGGATTGGATTGATGCCATCCCTAAGGAAAAGTTGTCGCGTGCACATGACCTTGATGGACGAAGATTTGGGCATATGACGACAAACTTGTCAGAATCCATAAACAGGGTGTTAAAGGGAGCAAGAAACATGCCCATTACTGGTCTGGTAAAATTTACATATAGTAGATTGGTCCAATATTGCGTGGAAAGAGGTCAATCGGCTTCTAGACAAGTTTTATCTTGTCATACTTATTGCAAAAATGTGATTGAATCATTGACACATAAAGGGAGCTAGAGAATTAAACCTGTAACAGAATGTGTACCAAATTTTGTTACTCATATGGCAAATGAACATGTAATGAATTAGACAATTACAAATAATATATACCTGTGACCGAAATGCCAGTCCTGGTGGGTAGGCTGCGGAAGAGATGAGCAATAGGGGGAATCTAATCCAAGCCCATATCTGGAGCAATACGTGGCAACCACCCATATTAACAGTCTGCGGGTTTGTTGACACACATAAATGTCTAAAGAGATGGGCGAGAACCGCGGACCCCCAACTGTATGTGCCAATGTCATGAAAGTCCCCTCCTGGCAGTGTAACGTAGCGACACACAATTTTGCTGCCACCCGATCTGTCACACAGTAGCCATGAGCCTAATAGTCGCAAAATGTGTGCCCGGGTGTAACGCCTCACCTCATCAGGATTGTGTGCTACTGGAAACCAATCGGGATATATTCTGTCTAAGTATGAAATACGTAGATCGTCTCCGTGAATGTCTGTGCCCGCAACAGGGGCAGTCCCAAAAACATGCTAACACACAGCGATCCAATCCAATGTTGTAGGTCCGGTAACTGCCTGCCCGTCAGTAGGCAAACCAAGTATACCAGCCACGTCCTGTAATGTAACAGTCATCTCTCCCTGCGTCATGTGAAACATATGTGTCTCCGGTCTCCACCGCTCAACCAAAGCACTGATCAAGGCGGTATCGATCTGAAGGTAAAACAACAATTATACAAAGTCCACATACAATAATTTAATTAAGTAATATAAAATTTACATACCTGAATATGACTCATACGTGCCACGTGTATGAACCCAGCCTGTGTCAAATAGTCAGCGACAACGTCTGGTATATCATCATGACGGGCTCCCCTGAAGTTTCCCTCGCCTCATCTTTAACCCCCTGACTTTATCCTCGTTCCACACAAGTTGTGAAACGTGAGTGCGTTGTGTCCTCTTATGGAGTACCTCCCACCTATATGGTCCAGGAAGTACATGCGTACAAGGATCGGATGGCTCAGCATCACCATCGGATCCAGAGCGCGACGCTTCTGACGAAGACAAATGGGCCATAATAGAATACTACTACAAATGAAAAAATTATACCCAAATTACTATTGAGATTATATTAATTTACGCTAAATAAAATTTAATTGCACTCAATTAAATAGCATTTAACTTACTTCAATTGTTATATTAATTTCAATTAAATTAACATCAATGAAAATTAATTAATTTAACATTACATTATTCTATAAATATATTTGAATAGATTTCAAATTCAATTTAAATATATTTGAAAGGTCAATATGTTTGCAAGTGTCATTAATAAAAAATTATTAATTGTCTCAAACTAATTTCTATGTGTGTAAATAAGTCCTATTACCAGCATATACCAATTTAGAAGACCCAAATTAATTTCTAAGTCCATATCTAATTCCTAAGTCACTAATCATTCTCTTACATAAGTCACTAATATTTTTTTAACCCCCTAACAATTATCTAAGTCACTAATAACTATCGTATATTTATTGCTGTTAATAAAAAATATAAACAATAAATAGGGACTTACATGAGAGAGAGAGACAGAGCTTTGCTGCGCAAAACGCTCTAGAAGAAATGTAGAGAGAAGGTGAAGGAGTGGTTTAGAGAGAGGAAGTGGAGGTAGAAATGAGGAAAAAAGTGAAAAAGGCCTATTTATAGACCAGGGAGGTCACACCCCTGTTGGGCGTGTTATATTTAGCGGCTCACGCCCCACATGGGCGTGTCTCTTTGCATGAGAACACGCTCCATGTGGGCGTATTCAAGTGCTATAATTTTTTTCCAAAACGACTACATATTCGTAATTTTTTATTAAAATCACAATAAATTAATTTTTTTTTCCTCCAATCAACATCTTCAGTTCATCAATCAAACAGCTAGATATAGTACTATTCCAACCCTTCCCTTTAATATAGTCTTAAATGGATTCAGTTAGGTTCCTGATAAATAGAAAAATAAAACCATTGGATTCTAGAGCATATTGAGAATTATGGAAACAAAAAAAAAAATTGCAATGTAGGAACGGTGAGAAATGGTTGACAAAAAGGTTAAAAACAGAAGAAAAACAAACACATTCTATGATGAAAATTAGCAGTTACACAAAGGCTATTACTTCCATTTTACATCTTGTGGTCGATTTTACAAGAAACCCCCCTCCACTACCCAAAAGTAAGTCAATCCATGAAGTAGTTAACTTGGATTTTCTTGGGCAAACACGAACTCATGAACCCATTATCCGATTTTCTATCTTCTTTACCACCCCAACAAAGTGTAAAAACTATACCCTCCTTCCCATCAAAGTTAACTGTCTGTAAACTGCTTTGAAAAATGTCTTTCAGCCATTTCTCAAACATGCTGTTAGTAAAAGAACCACACCCAACACGAATTTCCTCTATCACCCTCTCCTCTACAGTAAAGTTCACCAGATATTTCTTGCCACAAACATCCTCAAAGGACTCTTTGATCTTGGACAAAAACAGCTCTGCCATTTCCCTGTCCCTTGCTGGACTTTGATTGAAATCAAAGCGGTTCTCAATTGAGTCAAGAAACCCATTTGAGTTCATTGGATCTGCTATAGTTTCTCTAGTCAAATCACTTGAAATGGGGCTACTTTCCACTGTTTTGTCTTCCCCATCTTCCACTTCATCAGCTTTCATGTTCAAGTCAAGATTGTTAAAGCTTGACTGTCTTGAAAAATCTTTCTTTTTCTTCCCTTGTTCAGAAACCAGCACAACCTCTTCCTTCTCTTCAATCCTTGGGTTCTTGATCTTGGTAAACAAGTCCAGTTCAGCCCTTCTCTTGTGACCCAAATATGGTGATGATGACTCCAAGGTAGGCTTGGTTTCACTCATCTGCAACACCAATCTCATCACTGAGTCCTTGTCCTGCTCTTGATTGCTTCTATTGCCACCATTACTCAATATGAATATAGCTTGTTCTGCACTTAAATTTCCAAACTTTGCAGTCTCAAATCCATCTGCAAGGAATTTCTTAAACTGGGCATCAGCAGAATCAACATTTTCTATCAAAATCACAAGCTGTTCATGGGTTTTCAATGCATCAACCAGCACTTCAGAAAATGGGGTTGTTGAATTCTCCCTTTTCTGCATGTCCAAGTGAAGAAACAAATCAACTGAACCAAAAACTGATTCTGCAATTGCACGTGCCAACCTTGTTTTCCCAATAGAGTCAGTGCCCTGCATAAACAACCAAGTAGCACTTTGCTTTGCGGATTTGGAATCAACCAAGGCCTCTGCTATTGAAGGAACTGTTTCAGATTGCCATGGCACATTCCCCTGCAACAGTTCACAAATATGAGCTCGTCGCAGTGTTCTATCATTTATATTTGCCACCGTTTCACCTGAACCACCGAATGTTGAATTTCCAAGAGCAAGAGTAATCTTTACTTCTTTACCTTCCATGCCCTTAAGAGAATCCAAGGTTGTTTCTGTTGATTGCTTTTTCTGTATTACATCGCTGAAATTGAACTCAATGGTGCATGATTGTTGACGCCGGAATCGAGGTACAACGTTGGAGCTATAAGCAGCAGAATCAGCAAAAGATATAGAACTTGAATCTGGGAAAACACTACCTTGGTTTGGCCACCAGGGGTATGATGAATTATAAGGGTAGATCTTTCCATTTGAACTATGATTTCCATATAAACCCTTGCTCCAATGGTTCTGAGGCTGTTTGCTCTGGTGGAGGCAGTGGCATAGTCTATTCCATTTTATTTTCAATTGGGTTAACTCATCCTGAAAACATTGAATTCTTCATATATAAGCCACTATTTCTCAACTAAAAGAAACAAATGCATATATATAATAAGACGCATTTTTTTTAGGAGTTAGCTTCTTATACAAGAAAAAAAAAAATTTAAAATTTAAAATTTTACTACCTTCTGATGGGCTTCGGTGGTATTAGACTGAAGCCAGGAAGGTAACAGCTTCTTCTGTCCTGGTTTGAACAATTGAGCTTCTTTTTCATAATTGGAGGCACATTCTTCACAACAATTGAGCTTTTCTTGATCCTCCTTGTTACCGAAGAGTTTTGTTTCCACCATATGAGTTGGGTTCTGGGAGATGGTCATCTTTGAATCATGGACACTGCAAATTGAGTTCAGAAGCTCCAATCAACATCCAAAATTAAACAAACATACATTTCTGAGTTTTGAATATATTCTGCATCAGAAGCTGGTGTTCTATTCAATTCTTATAACTTATTTATCATGTTATTAATACCTTCCAAAAGTTTACTGTAAATCATACTTGCAATAAGGCTTATTTGTTAAAAAAAATAAATAAATATATGTATGCATATAACTCTTTCATCTTTATCTTCCTTTTGGTAAAGTATAGTTCCTTCTACACAATTTATCATATGAATCAGTAATGTTTAAGAGGTTATATACTGACAAAACAAAACAAAACAAAACAAAGCAGAAAGGCACTGTTTCACGTCTACCTTACCAACCAACCAACCATGCTTTTGACAGTGGCTTCTGGCAAAGTCCAGAGACCGTACGTAGTTAGCAACAAAGTGCAAAACAAATTAAGCATTAAAACAACAATCTCACAGTCACAGGATAACTTTTGCATGCTCATTTTTGTTTCCCTTTACTTTCTTATTGGCTATCATTTTTTTATAAAATCATTATTTAATTGGAGTTTTTGGTAATGAATTATCAAATTGATAATTAAGCAAAGAGATTACCTGGAAGCATGGAGACTCAAGCCAAGTCCACCTGATGGAACAGGAACAGCCTGAAGAGCCCATTGAGTCTCAAGAGGGGGTTGCCTCATTTGACACCTCATGTATGTTTGATAACTTGCTGTAGCCATAAGCCACACCTTAGTGTTTGAGTTTCCTTGGTCAGAAAATAACTTTCCTATTTCTGTAACTAGATGATCAACTGGGTTATAACCAGAAACTTCCCCATCATGGAACCCACCCTCTTTTTCACTCAAACTTGCCTCCATTATCCATTTCAGGTCTCCAACATAAAAAATAGCTCCTCCTCCTCCTCTTCCTGATGCAATAGAATCCACCTTCCTTTTCAGTGCTGAGAGGTTCATTTCCACTTCATCCCTTTTCATGAACCTCAAAGAGACTGGTGTAAACTGAAACTTGATGAAATGTGTTGACTTCAACTCATCAGGAACCTCCCCTCTTTCCAACTTTCCCATTAGCTCTCCCAGAAGGCCTTCAGTTAATGACACTGAGTCACCAACTATCACAGTGTTCTTTTTCTTCTTCCTCAAGAAGATATCAAGAACCAGCTTGATATCATCCTTGGAAGAGGGTGACTCAGTTATGGGATACACTGGGGCTTTCTTTTGTGGAGAAAAGAGAACTGGGCTATACTCAGAAGTATAAGCAGCCAAGAAATTATGGTTCTGCCTGAAAGTGCTACTAGGGTTGATGATGGTTTCTCTCTGGTTCTCGCTAGGAGAAGGTGAACAAGGAGAAGAAAAAACACCACCAGAACTGTTATAACACTGAAAAACAGAAGGGGCTGAAGAGTCCTCTATATTGTTCTTAACAGCAGTACTAGAGAACCCAGCCTCTCTCATAACCCTGCTAACACTAGGGTCATCAAGAATAGATATGATAAGCTGTTCAAGCTCAACCTTTATAGTGAGAAGTGGCTGTTGTTGCTGTTGCTCTATGCAACCCCTTCTCTGGTGTGCCTGAGCTCTTTTAAGTGCAGCAATGAGAGCATTAGAAAGAGAAGGTTGAGTATGGAGCAAAGGACCAGGTGTTGTTGGAAGCCTATTGAGAGCAACATTGAAGCAAAGCTCAAGAGCTCTGCATTGAAGAGGATGTGAAGTTTGGTGTGGCTGAGATTTGAGACAAGCCCTTCTTAAGGAACTAGCTCTTAAACTCAGCAAAGTGGCTGCAACATGCAGGGGTGTGACCTGTGCATGGCCCCTCCTGCGTGCTAAGCCAAGAGAGTGCTTCAAAACTGAAGCAGCCTCTGCTGTGAGGGTCTGCTGCAATGTACAAGCTCCTGAGCGCATCACTTGACCAAAACCCACCCCCCACACCACCCCCTTTGTTTGAGAACCTTTTCTTCAGAACCACACTTCTTGTTCCTCTTCTTATCTTTATGTTTCTCTCCAAACACCACCACACCCCACCCCCTTATGATCTCTTTTGTAAACTGAGATATATATATTATCTAGCTAGAAAGCTAGTGTTATTCCTCTTGTGATTAGAGGAACCTGGAACTAACTGAAAGGGTTTGAAGGATAAGCTAGAAGTGTGAGATAAAATGAATGAGAGAAAGAGAGAGAGAGTTTTTAACAGAAAGCTTAGAGCTAGTAGTTAAGCTTTAGAAATATACCACACTAGGCCTCACCCCGCTTCTTTATACTTCTTGTCATTCATTGTTTTTTGTTTTTGTTTTTCCTTTTTCCTTTTGTTTAATTCTTTTTTGGTTTTAGTTTAAAGAAGCAGCTTTTTATTACCACTTCATTGCTTTCTCTCCCCCTCTCTCTCTCTCTCTCTCTCTCCAGTGTACAGTTATTGTTGCAGTCCTTAACCCAATCCAAATGTGTGTTCCTTATGTAATGACTAATGAGGGGCTCTCTGATTTCTAATACATTGACATTTATATATTATATTTTAATCAGAATACCATATTTTTTAAAAATAATTGTTTCACTCTTTTGGACCTTATTAAGAAATAAAAAATTGGCCCAATAATGCATATTATTGCAGAATTTGAGCTGCATCGTGCATAGCATATAAAAAAAGGGTGAAAAGCTGTATAGATTGCTGTCATCTGCTAGCTGCAATAGTAATATGCATGCATGTTGATCATTATTGTCATATTACAAAGGGGCAGAAGAACTATTTGATTCCATTGATTAATTAGATGATATAATCAAGTTCTTTTTCCAATGTTATTTTTGTGCAAATGAGGTTATGTAAGAAATTACATAGTACAAAATAACAATGGGGACCCACAATTCAAATTTTTTTTACTTGGATTCACAAAGCAATTCCCTCATTCCACGTCATCCTTTGAATAAGCAGACAAACCCAGCAGAAATTCAAAAAAAGGTACTAAAGGAGAAACTTGGAAAGAAACCAATGTGATATGAAAGATACAAATGAAAAAAATAAAATAAAAAAAGCAAAGTAGTAGTTTAAAATTATCATTTTTAACCAAATGGTGAAGGGATCGGTTCAATATCCGTATGTTATTCTTGTGAAGAGCTTAAATATCTTCATTCTTAACTTGTATTGTATTTTGAATTAGTCTCATAACTAATTCATTGAGTCAAAACTTGTGAAGATATCAGAAGAAGTCAATTTATCTAAAAAAGGAAATTAATGTTGGGTAATTCAATTTTTTTTTTTTATCATTTTTATAACCTTTTTCTCATTTATATGAATATGTATAGCTACAAAATTAGCCTGTTGTGAAGAGAGATAAAAGTGACACTCTCTATCTTCACGCCAATCCTCGTAGAGAGACAGCATTTTATTCCCCAAGTACCCAAAAAGCAACTCTCTGTCTGCTATCCTTCATAGCATTATTGGTTCTTTTTCAGCCTCACTTCTCTCTCCTCCTGCAAACTGCAATGACCTTTTGTATTAATCTCATCTAAATTTCCAACAACCCACTTCAAAAATACCTTTTGTGTTTCCAAATAAAGGAAGCACAACTGAAATATACACTGTTATTATGCACACTCATATGTGTTCCCATTTCGTTTATGCAAAACTGATGCCTCATTTTGTTTTTTCTTGGAAGCCAGAAAACATTTCTGTAAGAGTTTAATTATGCACCTTCAGTAATGTAACTTTTTGACTATACTTTCGTTCATGTTTTTTACCCCTCATGGTTAGCTTATATATAAATATATATTATATTTTTTATGAATTATTCTCTCTTTGCTTTTCTTAATTCTTTCTCTTTGGGGTTTGAGATAAAAGATTTATTTTATCCTTTCTGACTTAGATTCTTATCGAGATACATGAAAGGTAGCTAGATATATCTTGAGATGATACTATATCCCGTAAGAGAATAAACCCAAATTATTTAATAGATCCAGCATAAAATTTCATTAAATAACTAAGAAAATGTTGAAATGAAAGTGTCAATAATTTATTGTTATTGTTCCTGCTTCCTTCAAGATTGATTATGCATGCTTGTAGCTTATTTTTATGCTGGTTCCACTTAAATTTGCAAATCTACGTAACGTCAGTAATTAATTTACTCCGTTGAGAGCAAGTGGATGTTAAAATTTCACATTACTAATGATGTGAAAATTTTGTGTTTATATATTTTTTTTATAATTTTTAATTAAACCCCATTCATTTAATGGCAATAAAAAATATAAATATAGACATAAATGTTTTACATGACGTAAAATTTTAACGTGAGGATCCATTCCCACTATGATACAATCAAACTTAAGATTAATCCATATTCTTAATATGAATGTTTCAGTTAAGTTTCTTCAATTGTATTCAACTTTTGTTACTCATATACCCTTTGTTAATTAGGAACTCTTACCACGCAAAATAGTTGCTGAGATTGAGAACCCAGGATTAGACACAACTTTGACCAACTGAATAATAAGGAAGCATATGGGTCCTCACGTAGTCACATTAATCTGACCCTTGCAAGATTCGAAGCATGATGAGAAATTAATCATTATAACCTTTACTTTTAATTTTATTATTTTTAACAAGAAAATGGAACAGATAAAAATTAAAAAGGTCAGGGTAGAGCTTGATCTTGGAAGCATATATAGCGTGGATTCCAAGGCTAGGATCTGTTCAAGAGTTTAAGGTATATAGAAAAAAAAAGAAAAAAGAAAAAAGAATATGGAATAAAAGTATAATATTCTAATTATGCAACTTCCTTATTCTCCAGTGCATTAAAGGGAGCCAAAAGAATGTTTTCAACGTAAGTATCATGGGGATGATTGAGTAAAGTGGTATATAAGCATTATCTTGCTTTCTTTTTATTTATTTTTCATATATACATATAATATTTTTTTCCGTTTATAATATTAATTCTAAATTTTTTTATTATCAGAAGAAATATATGCAGTCAGCACTCAAAAACAGTTCATGGGGCGTTTAAACTTTTGAGAATGAGTAAACATTAGCACCTCTTTTGCAGTCAAATTCATTGATATTGTCTCTGCTATTACTTTCTGAAAAGTTTATTTATCCAATAAATCATGTAATTAACGTGCCCTTTTAAGCATAATGTCTCTTGTCGTTTACACTTAACTCATGATTGAATGCTTCATATATATGATCAGATTGCTTACAATGAAGTGTGAAAAGAAAAGAAAAGAAAAAAGCTAAAACAGTGTGCTATATCATAATATGTGATCAGGTGGGGGCACCAATGTTCGTTCTTTGAGCACTCCTTTTTTTTTTTTTTTATCTTTTTCTTATAATTAAAAATGGAGCATCCCTAAAGAGTTATTAAGAGGCTCGCTATTCTGGGGTCATCAATGCCCAAACCTTTAAAAAGTATGCGGTTTTGATTGGAAGGGTGCCCAAATCATTGGAACATTATATTTCAAACTTTGAAAAGTGGTGAAGACAATAGGATTTCTCTACTTAGAAGAAAAGGATCCCTTTATGCATTAATTGTGAATGTGCATTTTTCTCCTTGTGATAAAAAATAAAAATAAAAATGACTCCAGATACATTTTTCGACTTGATCGAATGATTTGGTTTGCATGTTCCCTAACAAATTTTCAACAAAGCAAGAAAGTGAAAATTTGAGGCTTCATGAACTGAGACAGATCAGGCCCATTTATGTAACAAAATACTAAGCTACGAGAGATATGCAAAGACAAATATGAAGTAATTCAACGTTTAATTTGTGACTTACAAGCTTACAAACTTCAATTGTGTGAAAAAGGGGGTCATAATTCCCATTTTTCGAAAAAAAAGGGGAAAAAAAGTAATACAAGTGTATGAAGGACCTTTGGTTGATAGCTCCACCTAGAGTTATGTATGCCCCAGTACTTATTTACAGCTGGGAACACTTATCGTATAGTATGATTGAATAAAACAAAAGACATGCTCAGATCATAATTAAACCAGGAGCTGATGAAATTTGACGACAATCAATGACAAAAAGTCAAGTTTACTAGTGAAGATATATATTGAGAGTACCTTAAAACATTTGATCATGATTAAGTGGTGACTTAATTCTTTATTAAATTAATATATCCAGGATAATCTTTAGATTGCCATAGTCAAAAAAGGAACAAATATGACAAAAAAGAAAGATTGAGAAGCTCACATATCAAGAGAAAATGGAATAAGCAAGGTTTGGTTTCTTATAATAGGGTGTTCCTTTATGTTATACAATTCTACAAATAAAGAAGAGTAAATATCATTTTCGGTCCTCAGCAAATTTTATGATGCCCGCTTTAGTCTCTAGTAAATAAAAAGACTATTTGTGGTCCCTAAGAAATTCAAGGTGGATTTATTTTAGTCCTTTTGAGGGACTAATATGGATCTTTTTTGAATTTGTGAGAGAGCACGATTTCAACTAAATGGGTCTATTTTGAATTTCTTAGGGACCACGAATGGTCTTTTTATTTGCTAGGAACTAAAACGGATATGGTGAAATTTGCTGAAGATCAAAAAAATATTTACTCAATAAAGAATGAGCATAGTAGTAAGTAAATGGTACTTTTATACAAGGTCTTAGCTAGCCGCAATGGCAACTCTTATGTTGGGTGATGGTCAACACAATATTACGTTTAAATTAAAGGTGATAATAGAATTACAATGAATTTATATCTAGATGACATATCCTTAATCAACTCTGTCCATTCTCATTGGCAGCATTTTAAAAAATTTACCACTTAAATGAATTTTTTTTTTATCAATTTTAGAATCCTGCTTATGAAATCAAAAGCTCAGGTGAAGAATACAGCCAGCTCAACTTAATTGCTCTAATCCGAATTATTAATTTATCTACATTTAAAAAGGTTTATAAAAAATATAGCTATACATCTCATAA